ATTTAAATTTTGGCCAGAAGGATGGCCATGACTTTTTTGCAGGTGTGGTGTGAAGGAGCACGGATCTTCATGAACCCCTTGGGTCGAAACTTCAATCTTCAGCGTGCCAACAAGGTGGGGGACAGCACCGTTGTGGACGGATATGTGATGTGATTACCTGAATTATCCTGCACTGTGCTATCCGGAAGGAAGATAATCACGAATTGTTTTTGGTTCAGTTTGTAAGTTTCAGCTTATTCCCCAGAATTACACAGGATGGGCCCCTTCAGTTATAAGTTGGTTTATAAACACCATTAACTATATAGTTATCTACAGCTATATCTACCATAAGCCATAGACCTCAGCCACTTATATCGCAACTCAGCTATCTTGGGGGCCCCATCCTGCAGGCCTGATTCTTAAAACATCGCAGTGTAATTCCCCATCTCTGACCCGTGCAGTGCTTGGAGTTTGCCGTGCACCTGACGCCTCAGCTGGAGAGCTTGGCGGAGTGGAAGAGGCTTTACATAGCTATGAATACATAGCTATGAAACATACAGTGTATTTATATATATATAACAATAATATAAATTACCAAATAGTACTAATAATCATAATAATAATCTATGTATTTTATCAGATGTATATATATATACATAATTTGGACATTACCAACAAAGATAGAATGTAAGCCTTAAGCAGGAAAATCGAAGAAGTTATAGATGGATTGGTTTCAAGGACAATCCAAAAGAAAGCATGTATTTGCATGTTTTTGTTCCTATTTAACGTGAAGGCTTCTGGTGATTGTTTTCTTTTGCGCAAATCCCATGGAACGATGCAGGATGCTCACCATTGGGAGATCATCAAGATAGACCTTGCTTTAAGCCACTTTTGGCAGATATTTGAGCAGTAATGTGAGAAAAAAATGCCATAAACCACCCATGACTGGGAATGGTTTAAAGTTTATACCACCTATAAAAATGGTGATTTGGGGGATGGTTTATTATTGTTTTACCAACATTATTCGAAACCCTCTGTCAGAACACTATACTGGTTGGTTAATAGGGATTCCCCTATTGGATTGTTAGAATTCCATATAATCATCACATTTTTCGGAAGCAAGGGATTGCCAGTTCATGGATTATGATACTTCTGAATATATAAAGGGTTGTAGAATAACCCCAGAAGCAATCGCCAACCAAGAGGAATTGAGCAACCACGGCTCGTTTGTGCTTCCCCATGATGTATGGTTAACAAGCCCTTATTAGTAATTCACAAACCTAGGGGGTGCTTCAAATACCCGTGATATAAGGCTATTTGCTAGGATATTTCCGTATAGGCATAGCAACCCAAAAGTTACCACATTGGCCAATCCGGTAATCAAAATCCCGCTTACAGATGATTTTCCCAGCTAGAAACCACCTCATTTATGTGGGATTTCCCATGGCACACCGGGTAACACGTTGCCTGAGATACGGCGATTCCTTTTTGGAGCTCTTTCGCCTCCGTTTCCTCTTGGAGCTGCGCGCCGTGTCTCGGCGGTCTCGGCGGCGTCCTGCCACGGGGGATCTGCAGCAAGGCGCTCTAAAACTGGGATGGTTCACCACTTTCAATAGGATAAATCATAAATCTAAATGGTCATGTTCATGTATTTTCTATGTTACCCTCTGGTAAACCTACAAAAAACTATGGAAAATCACCATTTTTGATGGGAAAATCCACTATTTCTATGGCCATTTTCAATAGCTATGTTAAATTACCAGAGGGTAAATTTAGGGTAAGTGCTTGGTTTTAGACATATTGTGTCCGGCTTCTTTGGGATGACAATCCCCATTGATAGCAATATTGGGATGGGTCATGACTTAATACCAGCTATGACTTAGGGTAGGGTTTCGGTATCAGGCTTTTGACCCAGAACTATATATATATACCCTCTGGTTATTTAACATAGCCATGGAAAATGGTCCATTTATAGATGATTTTCCCAGCTAGAAACCTCCATTTATAAGGGATTGTCCATAGCTATGTTAAACAACCAGATGGTATGTTGATCTTGTTGGACATGATATGACATGATCATATCAGTTGTTGGGTTTCAATTCTGAGCGAATCAGCTCTGTGAGTTCGGGGATCTTGATTTCTGCTGCGTCCCTTTTTTTTGGGCGTCCAGTTTTCCAACTTTAAAACACATGGCATCCACCGACTGCACCCTATGCATTCCCAACTTGTGGAACTCTCTCTTGCTCCACGAACAGAACAGACCACCTGACTAGTTTCACTTTCGGGACATGGATCGTGGAGAGCATTGAACAGCCTCAAGAAAACGCGGGTTTGTGCTTACCATCCTGTAATCAAACATGATTTGCTGGAGAATCCTCCATGTATAGATAAATTTCGCAGCTGGAAAGCTCCAGTTTTTTCCAGCTATTGATTACCGGAGGCACCAAATGTCGAAGATTTCATCCAGCACCAAAACCCAGCCGCAACTCCCCAAGCACCAAACCCCCACGCTCAGTGGATTCGTGCTGAACCGCTGATCATTGGCTTGGGAAAGTCAGGTGCCCGCGGCATCGCCGGCTTTTTTTGGGGAAAAAAATGCCCCGAAAAGGCGATCTTTATTCAGAGGAAATCGATGGGAACCCCATGCCACTTTTGGTAAGGTTTACTAAGTACCAATAGTATCCATGTATGGTATATATGGTAACATTTACCATGAATATACCCCAGATGTTAGCATATGTACCATACATGGATCCTATGGGGTATGAATTGCTGTCGTATGTAGATGTAATGTAGTATGTACCCATCATTTTTTTGATTTGTTTGGGCGAGGATGTTGGTACCAGAGCCCCCCATCTTTGTAGTTTCTTCGCAATTCACCATTTTATGTCCTCGTTTTGCCGGCTTTATTTTTGACTTGACCCATCCCCTTGTCACACTTGTCTTGTCTTGTCACCTGGGTTTGTCTGAAAATTGGGTACCCTCTGGTAAACTAACATAACTATGGAAAGATCCACCATTTTTCATGGGAAAACTCACTATTTCTATGGCCATTTTCAATAGCTATGTTAGTTTACCAGAGGGTACCCCAAAAGCAAGTGGTTCATCATCGTTTTCCACCCAACAAAAACTATATATTAGGGCAAGCAGCTCCAGTGATTCCAGTCACTCAACAGAGGTATGAACAAGAAGCGATCTACAAATGCTGGCGGTGTCCAATTCTATGTGACAATTGGCGATAAAATCATGCAACATCCATACTATACTAATATTATAATATAAACTATATATATGTATTATATTGCTGATTAAATCCTTACTGGAAAAAAACACTTGCTGATTTATACCAAAAAAAATTGAATTTTCTGGGTAGATGTTTTTCATATCCCAGTAATATCCCCATGATATTCCCATGGCTGCGCACCAGCTCCCTGGGATCAACGAAGACCTGCAGCCACCTGGCTTGAACTTAAGAGGAATGGGGGGGGCGAGGGAGCTGGAGAAAAAAAATGGTGGATTTAAGGAAAAACACCAATTGGAATTTGATTTATAGTTGATTTATACACGCTTATACTATATATATAGGACTAGATAAGTTGTTTTTATAACTAGAATAACTATAGGATTTATAGTGACACAAGTGACATAAATTGATTTAACCAACAACAATGGTGGACCTGATTTAACATACACAAAATACCGATGTAACCATCAAAAATCAGGATCTATCCAATGATAATAGAGTTGGGTTTGCCTGAAAAAGGAATATTACCTCTTTTGTGTGCCATTATAATAAGGACAATGATGAGTAACTATGGGATTTAAGGGTACTCTTAGACAAACCCAAGTAGTGTGGGTGAAACAATAATAAGCCATCCCCCAAATCACCATGTTTATAGGTGGTATCTTTGCCATTCCCAAATGGGTGGTTTACGACATTTCCCACATTGACCCATATGACTATGAGTCAAAACCATGGTACCCAAACAGTACCCGAAGCTATAGCTGGTATAGCTGGATGTTTATTCCGTCAATGGCCATTTCAGGAACCTAAATTGGAGGTACCTACCATATATAAGGCCTATTTTTCAGGCCTAAATTTCAGGGAAGATCCCCACAAAATATGGCCAAACATATGGTACGTTTACGTACCTCCATCTGTTGGATCCTGGAATTCCCATTGACCCAGTCATTATGCATGGGTCATTAAATGTCCCCATTGAACATCACCCAACCATTGGGTATATGGTCTATAATGGTTACTATAAGGTGATGTCACATCCAATATACCCAAAATGGGACAGTTACCAACCCCTGTTATGGGAATAAGTAAAAGGTGGTGGTTTCTTCCAGCGATGCTCCTACTACGCCACTTGGATGCAGCGATGGCAGAGGCCTTGGGCCTCGTCGTCCAACGCATCTGCCGAAGGGCTGCCAGTGCCATCAGGCGAGGTGCCAGGGATGCTCCATACTTAGCTAAGTTGGTTGAGATAAGTAAGTCAACTGTTGGGTTTGTTATGTGTATATATATATATGGGTTTCCATAAATGTGAGTACCCCAATAGTTGGATGGTTTAAGAGGGAAAATCCTAGTAAAATTGATGATTTAGGGGTACCCTCATTTTAGGAAACCAACAATATGCGGAATTGATGGGAATATCATGGGATATAATGGATCAAATCGGATTTAACCATGAATCGCCAACAAACCAGGTATACGTGAGTAAGACTGAATGATCCCCTATTTGAATTACAACCAAGACAAACGTATTTTGAGTGGTGCAGATGGGTACTTGGAGCTTCTCAAGCAGCATTAGCACTTGCAGTGTTTGGCCCAAAGCCAAGCGTCAACTGCGGCGGAGTCAAATGACTGGTGGAATTATAGGGCAATTTTCATGATACTATGGTTATATTATGGTTTATAATGGCTTATAATGGTACCAATAACCGTCAAGTGCCACCGCGGTTCATCCGTTGCGTGGCGCTCTGCCACCGCGGTTCATCCGTTGCGTCGGCTCGCCATGCCGAAGATGACGGAGATCAACAAGAGCATGACGGTGGCAGGCCTTATCTCGTCCATTCAACCACCGGAGAAACAGAACGATGTGAAGAAAATCCTGCAAGTCTTGAAGAAGTACAGTAAAGACATCCATGTGCCATGGATGTGGTTTTTGTGGTGGATATGATAATATGTTATGATATGTTTATGATTTTCTGATAGTCAAATTGAGGCTTTTCAAGGTATTTAAGGGTCAACCCCACAGTATTTTGATACTTGCTTCTTCTTTGCCACCAATGGAGATACATAGAGATACACTATGTATTGTAAAATGTTCAGGCATCAAGGTATCATGGATGTTTTTTTTAGATATCCTGATGATAAATGCAAGATTTTTCCCTGCGACTTTGAGTCTTGGTGCATTGTTTTTTGGATTGGAAATCATTGGGAAATCCAAAATCAACCTTTTTTCCCCTGGATGTGTACGTATATGTTTGGGGAGAAGTCTCGTCCAAAAATACAAGGTCTGGGGTGACAACATCATCGGTGCCGGCAAAATGCTCTATCAGAGCAAGAGCCAGAAGCCTTACACGCAGCTCGGCGCTATCCCCCACCGTGACACCCTGGACTATCTACCCCAAAATCATTGGTTTAACTGTTTGAGATAACCAATTTGGTATGATTTTGGGGTGTCCCATTCTAAGAAGTCCCATTTGCTGTAGGTTGAAACAACAAAATCCCTGGTTAACTACCCTCGAGAAAACTAACATAGATTTTGAACACCCACTTGTAGATCATATTCGTAGGCAAATGTTGGTTATGTTTATCCCTGGATAGTTTTTTTTTGTATGTCTTGAAGCCACAGGATTCAAAAGTTCACCAACAACCCTTGGGCTCTGGACATTTTTGATGAACCCCACGGATTATTTTGGATTCGAAACTCACCTATTTTAGTTGTTAGTACATGCTGAATTGTGGATTATCTCATTCCCTGGATGGTTAGAATTCCTCTCAACAAACTGGGTGGTGGTTCGAAATGTTGCGTTCTCGCAGAATATACGTCACAACTGACTTGGAGCATGTTTCAGGTTGTTGAGTATGCGAGTCTGTCGCCCAAATGAGGTTTTCCCAGTTGTGCTTGACTTATCACCATCCTGATTGCCTAACCAAAACCCCTTCCTAGGATCTAGATCTGGTTGGTGGTTGCAAACATGAATTTTATTTTCCATAATATATGGGATAATCCTTCCCATTGACGAACTCCATCATTTTTCAAGATGGGCACATTGCACCACCAACCAGAGATATTATTCATTAGATCAGGTATTAATCACTAATAACTACTATTAACCACAGATAACCACTATTAACCACTATTAACCACTATTAATCACTATTAATCATTAATAACCACTACTGTATTAACCACTATTAACCACTATGAATCACTATTACTATTAACCACTATTAATCACGATTAATCATTAATAACCACTATTACTATTAACCACTATTAATTACTATTAACCATGGTTATTGCGCATGGCATTTGGGTAGCCTGGAAGACCCAAAGCTGGGTCCGACCAGGTGGTTTCAATGTGGCGTCGCCCCAAGGGCATCCAACATCTCGGTCTACCTGGGGATGACTCCACTGAGCAGCGCAACGGTGGCGAAGGTGGGTCCCAAATGTAGCCATGGCGTGGGCTGTCTCTACATCAAGTCACTGGTGACTTGGGACAATCAGCAGATTTTGAGGGTTGTTTTTTTGGTTTTTTGTGACAATGTTGGGGACAAAACCATGAAGAATATCAAAACTTTTCCGGGTTGATCATCATTGTTTCCATTTCAATGGCAATTTTAGGGTATTTCCCTTCTTGGATGCGCCCATGTCTTGAAGGGTTCCTGACAAAAATCGGCTTTAAGGCTTTCAGGCCGAAAAATTCTGTAGACTACATCATTTCTCATGTCCTAAAAATATCTAGTTTGAAATCATATAAATCTCATCCCTTATCACGTCCATCTTTGTCTTTGCTCCAAGCCACAGTTTTCTCGCTTCAGACTCGGTCTTGGTGAATCCCAGTCTCAAAGTGTCTCTTCAGCTTCCACTCTAAGCCGCTTTGTTCCGAATCATATGTGGCAACACCCAGGCAGACGTGAACATGAAAGAATTGGAGGCGCTGTTGAAGAAATGCTTTGCCGTGAAGGAGTTCGTCGCTCCCGGTGCCAAGCCCGCGAAGCCGTCGAAGCCGTTGAAGCCCGAAGGGAAGGGTGCCATGAAGGTGAAAAAACGACCTGGCAAGAAAGCCTGAGAAAACCCTGAGGAATGGTGGGTTTTAACGATTTAACCACAAATTGAGGGGTGCCTGACTCATTAGTATCATTAATTAATACTAATTTACTAATTACATTTGAGCTCATTTAATTACAATCTATTCTATACTCATTGGGACTAATTAGTCACTTTGATTCTTGCTGGATCTCATCATGATTGTTTTTTCCCAATAAATCTCATGGTTTATGAGTTAGTCATCATTTCCTCAGTAAAAGTATGGACCTGGGCAAATGATGGATTGCGGCCATGCACTTCGCCATTGAGTTTGTTTGGAATTAAACTTGCCGCATGAATCATGTGGCGCAGCTGGCTGTTTAAAATCTGCCTGAGACTGCTCTCCTGAGGTATGTCGACCCAAATCAGGGTGCCGATATCACCTACTGTAGAACTGATTGCAAGAACCCAAGCAAGTCTTTCGATTGGGGGTCCCGGATTTTGGGCACATACCCAGGCAAAGAAGGAATTTCAAAGGAACTTCCTTTGCACTCCAATACCATTGCTTTGAGACAGGAACAAAAGTGTGCTGCATGTCGTGGGAGTTGAAGCGCAGGTGACATTGTCCATGCCTCATAATTATTTACCCATCAAGCAATTGACGTTTGGTGTTTTTCAATGCGCATCGGGTTTTTTGTCCCTAGTTGAAGAAGATCTGATTTGTTATTTTTTCATTTGTTGAAGAAATCAGCCTAAAGATCGCAAGATGTTCCATATTTTTTGCGCTGCTGTCTTGAATTACCAGAGCCCAGGCTATTTTGGTGCCCAAATCTTGGCCTCGTCAGGTGTAGATCTTTTCCCCTCACCGTCCAGCGAGGACAAGATGAATTTCCCCAGGACTGGAAGGGCGAGGGGCAACAAACGGGGTAAACTATCCCATGGCTTCCAGTGGCCAGGGTAAATTATAACAACCTCACTGCCACCGAACCCTGGAATGATAGGTAGTTTTTGGGGAATTGCCCCCAAAATCGATCGGTATAGCCTTACTTTTTAGGCAAGTTATTTAATAGTGGTTCAGAGCGAACTAAGAGGCCTCTTGCGGTTGTGGGATAGAGCTACGAATCGAGTTTCCGAACCACAAAAAATTGTAAACCAACTAGCCAACTAGGGAAGGTTGGTTGATGTTGATTCTTACGCCGTGGGGTCAGGTTGAACCATCTTTAAGGAGGTTTCCATGGCCTTTGGTCATGGGACCCGGACACTTCACCATCTTCACCTACACGGAGCTACGTAGACGTTTGAAGAGAGATCATAGCCCATCGTCATGGCCATGTGGTTCTGTTCATTCTAAGTGCCAAATGCAGATGCTCCACGTACGGAATGTTGACATATTTTGGTGATTTTGGTGGTAAATGTGAAATCATATCACACGCTGGGTTTTCCAAGTCTATGATTGTTTACGTAATAGTTTCTTGGATACACACGTTTCCTTTGTCCATGGCTTGTTGTGGCCACAAGTTCCAAGTTCTTTACCCTGCAGGTTCGCGAAAGCGATGCACTCACCATTGAGATGTTTCCTGAAATTGTCCGATCTCACCAGGTCTAAAAATGGTTCGCCCTCTGTTACCCCAAAATGAATCGTGAAAAAAATGACTTGATGAAACTTGGGACACATTCAGAACAGCATTTTTTGAAACGAAAGAAATGGGGATGGGTCACCTATTCTATTCCCATACTGGGGGAATCGGCATCCAACAGCAGCTATAGCTTCGGGTACCGTTTGGGTACCATGGTGCAGGACGGGGTTGACGGCATTGAGGGTGCGTGAGACCCTTAGGAGGGCTGGGAAGGAGGGAAAAAGGTGTCCCAAAATATCAAAACATGGGATATGTGTGGGAAAATTTGCTCATTTAGATCATGTCGCCCGGATTCATGGCAAAATTTAGATGGAAAATAATGATCAAGATTAATAAATCATGGGATTTAATTAGAGGTCAAAAAATATATATATATATATAACCTCAGACAAGCCCCATATCTCAAGATATCGGGGGTGTTTTCTTGTGACTGGAACCACGAACCAGGTATGTTGGTAAAGATTACCGTTGGTCAGGAGATATACCGTCGCGACTCTTCCACTAAGTTGTGAAGGTTAGCAAGGGACCTCAAACTCAAAGATGGGGTACTTTGCCTGGAAGCACAGCAATTTCAGACCCATTTTTTTAGAACTATCACCTCGACAATCTTCACAAGTTGTCTAATTACTTGAGTACGAGAAACCAACATGTTGGTTTGAAATTGTCTGCCGGCACTTTTGTTTTTGCTATTATACATACCCATTGTGGAATCTATCTATTATTATGGCTACCTTTCTCACCAACCTAACCAGCTTGTTTTTCCAAGATTGGCTATGTTTTTGCATGCACCTTGTGTTGTAACCTCCACTTGGTTGCAATTGTACAGAATTTTGGAATATATATATTATATATAATATTGTAGTATAATATATAATATATAACATATAACATATAATATATAATATATAATATATAATATACAATATATAATATATAATATATAATATATAATATATACCATCAGCACTCGCGACCATGAAAAATGTAGGGTTTATGTTGCAACCCAGAAAATCAAGGTTACGAGGTTCAAAACCTGGTTTTGGGTTTTCCCCAAAAATCACTGAAACATCATGTGTTATCACAAGGGTTTGTGAAATGTTCAACCATGACCCAACCATCCTTCTGCCCACAACCAGCTGCCGTTGTTTGCTCCATCCACTACCACATCCCCCGATCGGCCGGTCAGCCGGGGTCCTTGGCCTGTGACTAAGGGTGGAGGCTAGCTCAAGCATACATCAAAATCAAATAAAATATTATATGGTGCTAAATTTATGGTGTGGGGGCCAAAGATAATTAAGGTTGGACATTAGATATATGCCTCAAGCATGCGCGCACCCTAAGAAACATACTTGTTCTTTTCGTCTGAAAATTGCGCTTGAAGCGCATTTCTCACTGACAAAAAAACTCTTTGAATTACCCGAAGTGAGCACGACCTCGGGTTCGTTCGCCTAGCCAAGCGACTAGGTTTGCCAACATAATCCTCTTGGGACTGGCATGCGAAAACCAGCAAATTTAAAGCCCATGGACCTCGCCGCGCTTGGCGCAACAAGTCCAGGACTTGGTGGTGCAAATAATGGCCGTTGGGCACAAGTGGAAATCTCTGCTGCCGGCGGGAAAAAGCCATCTGTGCAAGCTGCGCGTAAAGCCGCAAAAACGTCAGTCCTTGTTGGGCCAATCGTTCGGCTTTGTGGCTAGGCACAAAAACGCTTTCATGGTACAGTCCTTGAAGGAAACCATTGATGACAGAAGCAGCTTCTGCCTTAGATGCGCACAAGCGCAAATGAAATATATCCCAAAGAAATGGACCCCGTACCTTGAAAAATTGGAAGGGAAGAGAGCTGCAAAAAGAACAATGGTTAATGGTTCATCAACGCGACCAGGCAACACACTTCAGGTAGAATGGGTCCTGTGTGTGGCCGATCACTTTCCGTGAGCAAAAGTCTTCGAACCATCTGTGAAGGAGTCGAGTGAAATCACCTTTACTCCAACCCCCTTCCGGGCAATCCTTGAAACTGCACTCCACACCAAACAGAGAGCCAGACAGTTTTTTATGGTATGGACTC